GCATTTACTGACTTTCTCTATGTTCTATTTAACATGCTTTATCTTCGCAGAAGATAGAAATGGGCAACAGACAGATACGGACACCTTTTGCTTATTTGAGTAATAATATAACCTGCTTGACCTCAGCTGCTGAAGCTTAAATGCTTCCTATTGGTGGCAGGTTCCCGGCATATCTCTGCAGTTGTAGGATTTCACACATTTCTCTAACTGTTCTTTGTTCTTTGTTTGCCAATCATTATAATGTCTATAAATATGGTGTACATGTTTATTTTCTCCTTACAAGGATTTCCTATTCAACTTAAAATAGGAACTCTTTAGAACTAAATAAATAAAAGCAAGGATCATGCATTTCCAAAAATCCTGACATGAGAGCGGGTTTGTCTTTATGTGCATTCTCTTGTGTCTCCCATATGAGAGTGGTGACCCCATCATGTGGGACACTGGAATGTGACACCACATGTTGACAAAAACATCTTTTCTTTAGGGAAAAAGGGGGTTGGAGGACAGGAGAGGGAACAAATAGCAGCTAAAACTTTGCTTCACATGTTTGCAATTTAAAATGTTTATATTTCCTAATAATTCACTCCAAAGATATAAGGGTACTTTTCTCTAATCCTAAATCTAACTTGTAACTATATGTTTTTCATTATCTGATTTAAACACTTTCATTCCACACTTTCAGTTGCATCCTGAATTTTCCTTTGACACTTACCAAATAACATCCACTTGCTTGAGCAAATGACATTACCATGAGTATTCGTCATATGTGGGCAGACCACCAGAAAATGGCATTTTGCTGCGGAATCACAAAGAGAAGGAGCTATGCAAGGTTCATTCTCCTTACCGTGGAATTTGCCCTGAGATCTGAGAACCCCCAGGGTTAAAGTTATAAGGCTTCTACAGCTTCGTCGTCTCCACCCCCCCCCCACCTTCCTTTCTCAGTTGGATAAGAGCATTTAGGAGATGGCAGGCTGTGAGAAGAGACACCTAAAAGAGTCTCCGTTTCTTTCCTTCTCTAATTCCTTTTGTTGGAACTTCAAAGGTGGACACTGTTATCATAACCTGGCAGAAAAGCTAGAGCATAAAAAACAACATTTTCTCCTGGAAAGAAATGCACCGTGATCCACTTCTTACGCATAGGAGGCTTGAATGTGTGGCAGTGAGAGTGGTACTTGCATTTCATCCACCCATTTCTTCCTTTCAAATACAGAAAATAGAGAGAAGGAGAGATCCAAGCATCTTTCCCAGTTCCTTCTCTGCTCATTCTTCATCTGACCTGGTTTGGTTGAATAGTTACAGTGCAAAGTTATTCTTTCACCATAGCAATGACTGAAAGGTAAATTGTTAACAAAGGACTATGTGGGTTCATTATTGCTGACCTTCTCTGGTCTCCTCAGTGGGATTTGGGGCCACTATGCATTCAAAAGCCTGACACAATATTTCTGACAGGCCTGGAAAGCCATCAGTTAATCTTTGGTTAGTTCACTGACACTTCTTTCAGATCTGCAATTCTACCACTCGTGACCAAAGCATTTTCCCCTTGAGCACATGTTCAGGTGCACTAAGGCAAATACTGTTACTAGGTACATTTCAGTAGCATTTCATGTTGTAGTTTTCATGTGTCGGTCTAAAGAGTTAAGTTTCTACAGGAAAATCTATATCCAAATGACTAAAGCTCAGGAATTCCCAGTGCACTAATAGGAGAATTCATATGCACAGCACTTCAGTTAGTGCACTTGTACTGGCCAGAACTGCACTAAGAGGGACTAAAGTCCTCTTGCATGTGCAGGAGGGAGTCATGACTCTCTAGTAGCTACTTTTGCAGATATGAATTGCGACACGGTAAAACTAAGGGCATCATAAGAAACATATGCAGGAAAGTAGAACTAAACGACTGTAAGCAGGAGCCAGGTGTGGCTGGATGTGCCTGTAGGTCCAGCGCAGGCGGCTGAGACGGGAAGAATACCACAGTCCAGGAGTTTTGAGACTAGGTTTGGGCAACACAGTAAGACTCTGTAAAATTATATACACGTGCATCATAAATGTCTGATCTAAAAACCCTGCTCATAAGAGGCAAAAATTGTTTGACCTAATGTCCAAGCACATCTTCCGAGGGACGCAATTCTAGGTTTCTGAAAGTGATGCTTTAAATTCATGGCATTTCACGAGACCATTGAAAATACTTAGTAATTGTTTCCAGCTGTTGCTTAGACATTTCCTTTACATTCCATGGCCCTGGAGGGAAAAAAGAAAAAAGGAAAAACCCCTTTATGACAGTTTCTTGTGGATCATAGTGTTAACTGTAAATCCACTCCATGGTAGTCTATAAAATCGAGTTTTTATTTCATTGTTTCTACTTCATGCCAAATCATAAAATTTTTAAAAATACGAAAAGAAAAATAAAAACAACAGAAAGCCTCTTTTAAATTTAAGGACTTTCCTCTTCCTGTAGAGTGAAAGCATGTCTGCATGAGGGTGTTTATTTCTAAAGGCTACAGTGTGTATTGCAAAGCGTGGAGGAAGGTGCGCTGATTGAAGATGGGGATCCTGGGCCCACCGATAGGCTACCAGCCTCAGACAGGGTCCCCTGAAATGCGGAGCTGGGACTGGAATGGGATGACAAGTATGCAGCATGCGCAGACTTCCTTTCTGTCATCTTCTGCAGCCCTTTCTCCTCATCTGTCCAGCAAATTCTATTAGCCCCAGAGGCAGCCTCAGCACATTTGTTAACACAGAGCTCCAGCAAACATCCATCAATCTGTCGACCTTGGCAGACAATTTTAGGCCTACTAAAGGACTAAGTGATTGCAAAGTTTCTTCCAGCACTGTCTCTCCAATATGCTAATAGAGGTCCTTAAGAAATCTACCGTAAGGAATGGGAAAATGTAAGCTGTGTATGCTTTATAATATACAAACCATTTCCAAGGTGCTTTATGAGGACTTAGAACATCAGCTAGCTTCATAAAATAGTGTTTCTTCACTAGACTTAACACAGAAGCTAGCTTCATAAAACGAAACAGTTCTTAGCAGACTGGGGGAGGAAGAGAGAATAATTGGAAAGGATAAGGTTAGAAATTAAGGACCTGGCTTTGGAATCAACTAAGGAGACATTTTTAATACCCAAACCTAGAACTCACTCTGTTGCTTATTTTCTGTGATAGAGCCCAGAGAGGATGTTTCCTTTAATGTCTTTCTGACAAACTCTGATTAACATTCTTATCCACAGATCCTTTCTGCAGCCTACCTTACATGTTTTTATTTCTAATATCTATTATTTCAAGAAACAACAATAGTAGGTGCCATCCCCCACCTTGTCCAAATAAAATCTGCACATTTCAAGGACAGCATACAAATAAATAATTTTACCATTGATCAAATTTGCAGTTTTATTTCTAGAACTAAGCATTGCATCATTTAAAAAAAAAAAAAGAATAATGGGAGCCACTCAACCCTTCTAGCTTTTTAGTCCATGAAAACCTGGAGTCACTATTTACTCTTCCCTTTCTGTCACAAAACTCTACCTGTGTTCAGCCAATTCTGTTAGCTACTGTGCCATGCCTGACTGCTTTTCACCATCTTCGATTACTGCCACCTTCCTTGATTATTCCAGTAACCCTCCAGCTTGTGTCCTGTTTTAATCCTTGACCTCCATCCTTTATCTTCCAAACACATGGAGTGATCCCAGTAAAACTGAACTCAGATCATGCCCTCCTTTCTGTAAAAACCTGCAGGTACCCTCATAATGGAGTCCCAGTTAAAGCCAGTCATTATGATGGTCTCGAGAACCCTACACCTCCTGCTCCTCCTGCCCTGTTCCTTTCCCCCTTGTCCACTCAACCCTGACTTCCTTCTTCCCCAGAATCCCATAAATCCTCCTATCAATAAGCTTTCTGGGTGCTCTTCCCTCTGCCAGCAATATAAATTCTCCAAATCCCAACATGGCTCCTCCACACCATTTTCAAATCTTGACTCAAGAATCATCATAAGGGTAAGCATGTGCCTGTTTAGCTCATTAAAATCGTAACCCTTGTTTGCTTCCTTTGTTTACTGTTTATCCTTCCTCACTAAATTTCAGCTCCACACAAACAGGGATTTTGATCCTCTTTACTCACCAGTGTATTCCCAAAACGTATTCTTCTCTTTGTCCTTATTTTTTTGCAGTGTTGAGAATGGGACCCACAGCTTTACATGCACTAGGCAAATGTTATAACACTGAGCTACAGCCATAGTCTTCCCCAGCATCTAGAACAAAGCAGACACTCGCTAGGTATTTGCTGAATCAAGAAATAAATGAAGGAATTAGCCAATAAATAGCATGACTCAGTGATTTAGTAGTCCACATGTGAGCAAAACAGTCAGGACATGCTTTTCTGAGAATTTGCTATCCAAAGTTTCACAATGTCATTTCCCTTTCTCTAACATGAACTGATCCCTCTCTTTCAGCATGTCATAGAATTGCAATTACAACGTGTTATTCTAACATTTTGAAATCTTATTTAAAATATTTGGGAAAAAATTACACAACATTCTCCTTGTGTCATTTGTATCAATTCTTCATTCCCAACTATTTCACTTAGCAATTTCACAAAATACCAATAGCAAAAGAAGGCATAAAAATAGATTTCGAGTCACTCCATTTTGTTATTTATTATTTTGTCAAGGATGAGAAAAACTTCAAAATACTAATTTAAAACAGTCAATGAAGCTACATGTTTAATGTACTCTACTTTAGGTATAGACACCATATTTTAGAGATAAAATTATTGGATTTTAAATATAATTTTTGGCAACATTCTGGACATGAAATGCAGATTAAAACAAATGGTGTGACACAAAAATATTTTAGTTAATTAATAACCATGTCTAAACTTTTGAGTATTTTTATATACAAAGTATCATATAACAGTTTTGCATGCATAATCTTATTTTATCCCCATTTAAACTCTAAGAGGAAAGAAAATATTTAAAATGTGAATCTTGAAAATGCAAAACATCTTGCCTTAATGTTGCACAGCATAGTAGGTGGCGAAGCTGTAATCAAATCTCAGTCTAACCGAGTCCAAAGACAGCATTCTTAACAGAGATGCTTTTCTAAGACAGTGGTTTATGGAGATGACAGGGTAAAACACTTTGAATCAGGATAGTTTCAGAAAAAAAATTCCGTCATAAGGTTAGAATGTTTCACTTTATTCTACATTTCTGAATGTTGGCTGTAAAAACAAAAGTTATTAAGAGAGGAAATCAAAAGGAGAAAAACTGTGAATAATATTGTGGGGTGCCTTTCCCCCCAGGAATCCACAAAGCACCACCACAACATATACTAACCAACAAAGCATTCATGGCATAGAATAAAATGAGGGTTTGGCATTTGTTCAATTAATTGGATCCGTGAGATCCACGGTATGTTCTGTTTTGTTCTGTTAGCTCTCAGTGACTTTTAAAAATTTGAATTACTCAATTTATCTGTCTCCAGAGATGAGCAAGCTGAAGCTAAAACCTTGGATACCACCTGACTTCCATTCTGGATGGTGACTTATTTCCAAGTGAAGGCATTCTTTCAAATCAGTCATCAAGATGATGTCCTTAGTATTCTTGCCATTGGGTGTGGAGTGCCTGTTCCTTTGTCCATTGCAGAGACAACAGTGCACAACGGACCTGCTGAAGAGAAAGAGAGGACACTGAGGCACGGTTGGGTGTGCTGGGGACCCTGCAGAGCTCCCCTCGCTGCATAGCACGTCCGTGATGAAGCCATGCTGCGGGAGTATCCCTGACCTCCCATCTCATTGTTAACTAGCCCCTTCCCAACAGTTTTCATGGACTTAAAACACATTTTTTGCCAAACATACACTGATATTACTGATATTACTTTAATTTATAAAAACCCTGCTTTCTGTTTTTCTATGGACTATTTGTGGGGCCATTTTAAAGCTATTGCAATACTGCTTGATGCACACCATGTGAAAAAGGAATCTCTCTCTCTCTCTCTCTCTCTCTCGCTCGCTCGCTCGCTCGCTCTGTGTGTGTGTATGTGTGTGTTTGTGTGTGTATGTGTATGTGGTATGTGCGTGTTTCTCTCTTTCTCTCTCTTTTAATTTTCTATTTAGAATCTTGTAATCATTTGGCCAAATCCAAGTAGGTCAGTCAACTTAAAGGACAAAAAACAGAAATAATATGAATTTTTTAAAATTATTGTGTATGCCAGTTGTGGTGGTGCAAGCTTGTAACCCCGGCACTCAGGAGGATCTATGTGAGTTTGAAGCCAACCTGAGCTATGTAGGTGAGTTCAAGACTAATCTACACTATGTATCAAGATTTTGTCTCAAAAAAAGAACCCAAATAAATAAATAAACTCAAATATGTTGTTTTTGTTGCTTTTGTTTTTTGAGATACAAGCTTTGAACTCATGGTGATTCTCTTGCCTCAGCCTCCTGAGTCCTGGGATTACAAGCATGCTCCCCTATGCTGAAAAATCAGTTTAATCAGATGACTAAATGTCTGAAATCTTCATCAATCTCAGGACAGGTTGACAGAAAATTAAGGAAGCATTGGGAAAGAAGTAAGTGATGATCACTAACCACTAGACATTGGCCCATGAGTTGTCTTTGGGTCATGAGCTCAGTGACAGGACTACATGCAAAGGAGGCTGCCTGTCTTCACTGCAATGCATCCCCAAGGATTTCAACTTGCATTAAAACTTTTACCTTTTTTAATGTGTAAATGATTATGCTAAACATTGCCAAGAAAAATGTAGCACACAGAAAACCCTCATATTTTTAAGAAGCCCTTGACACTAGAGAAACAAATAACCTTAGAATCAACGAGAGTCAGAGCATAGGATATCTTTGTAATAAAGACTACCCAGCCTCTACTTGGGGAAATGCAAATATTCCAATATTATTGGGAAAAAAACATTCTCATAGCTATAGGAACTATCTTTGGAACTAAAACTAAAAGTTATACGTTGCTGAGTCTTCAGTTCCAAGTGTCCTTTCTGGTTCCTGCATGACAGTCTGAAATGAGGATGATAAAAGCATTCCAGAGAGAACTCCTCAAAGCGGAAGCCAGAGAACTTCCAGTTAATATCCCCAGAGATACCGCCGTAATGGAGAACACTGCCTCTGGTGTCAGACTATCTAGGTTCAAATCCAGGCTCCTCCACTCAACAGCAACGCTATGCTCAGAGAAGCTATCAGTTACTTAACATTTAAACAGTACCTCCCAAAGAAAGCCTTCTTCCGGGAGTTCTTCTGGGAATCAAAAAAGTTAACATATTAAATCACTTGGGAGTGTGTCTTGCACAAGGTATGCACCACAGAAAATTAGATGCTATTTTTACTGCTACAGGTAAATAAACAAAAACAAACTGCAGACATCATTATTTTATTTAAGTCCTCCCAGTGACATCAAGTGACATAAGATAATGTGCTGAGACAGAGCACATTGACATGAGATATATGATTAATAAATGTATGTGAGGAACACATAAATATGTGAGCCTCAACATAGACCAAGAGGATGAACCACAAACAGATAGACAAACATGCGTCACAAAGATGGTTGAAGTAAGACTAGATGCCCAAGACATGGATTTATTGTCAGTCACAGCTTAATACTGACAGCTTAAAGGAATAGTGTTGGGCTTCCTACCAAAAACAACAACAAAATATGCCAATTCCAATTACTGACTCTACTCACCATCATGTAATCCTGTGATTTGATTTGGATGTCCCCAAATACAATGGTGGGTTAAGAATTCTCAACAGCAACACAAAATAGCATTGCATGCATCTCACTGCATAATTTCAGTATGACAACACAAAAGGAACTGTGACTAATATGTCCCCATCTTATCATTTTCCTGCAGCAATTAACCAGTTATTTTGGGATACTCGAATACTGTTTTCCCTTCCCGTACCCTCCCTTTCCTAAAACACTTTCAGAGATTGTGTTTGTCCAAAAGAGTCTACTCTGCCTAATTTACAACACACTTTCTATCAGTTTTGACAGCACAAATGCCCTCATGGATTCTAAAATCATTGAACACTGCAAGTCATACTGAAAAGTGAGTCCAGAATGTCCATTTTACTCTGTTGAATCTTGATCCACGGCCAATGTTACAGGTAAGTTATATTCTTCAGATCACTCTAAGGAAGAATACCAGTCAAAAGGACAGCAGTCTGAAAAACAAAATTAATTTTTACGTTAAAATATAAACCTATACTTTATAATATTTAGAAAATTTAATGAAGAAAAGGAAAAGATAAAGTATAAGTTATTTTGTCCTTTTGAGACAGCATTTCACTACACAGTTCAAGCTGGTTTGGAACTCACTTTGTAACCCAGGCTGGCCTCAAACTCACAGCAATCCTCCTGACTCAGCCTCCCAAGTGCTGGGATTATAGGTGTGAACAACTACGCCCAGCCAAAGTATGAAATTTCATAGTTGAATGTCACTGTTTAAAATGTCAAAGGAATACCGTCAGAAACATTCTAAAGTAATGGAAACATTCCAACCCAGTGGAAAATATGGGCTCTGGTTTTACTCCACATTAGAACTGACAAGAGAGCTTCAAAGACATTTACAGTACATGGCTGGGTGTAGTGGTACATGCCTGCAGTCCCAGCAGTCTGGGAAGCTGAGGCAGGAGGATTGTAAAAGTCCAACATAGGCAAAAATAAAAAAAAAATGGGAGACATTGTAGATGTAGCTCAGTGCAAAGACCAAAAATAGGAAGGGGGAAGGGAGAAAAGGGGAAGGAAGGAAGGAAGGAAGGAAGGAAGGAAGGAAGGAAGGAAGGAAGGAAGGAAGGAAGGAAAAGACTTTATCCTACAGATAAGTGAAACTGGAATCTCTCAGAGAGCAATTCTGGATCGTAGCATTAGATGTTTCCCTAGATGATTTAATGTGCAGGATGGGGGAACACTAGCACAAATTCTCCTGATTGGATCTCTTGATCAAAAGTTATCAAACATTCCTGATCAGTGCTATTAAAAACATAGATTCCCAAGAACCTGAGGAATAGAATCAGAGTCTTCGGGAATAGGTTTGGCGGTGGTGGTGACGGGACAGTCAGGAACAGAAATCTTTATTTATAAGAGCATCTTATAGGAAGCCACATCATTTGACAATCTGGACTCAGGAACAGCTTCACCTTTAGCTTCCCTTGGGCATCAGGTGGGTCAGTTGACCAGGTTCCAAACTGTTTTCATCCTTATTGAGAATATTTCCTCGACCTTGCTTGGTGTCAAACAAGTCAAATTTGTTTTCCAAATGCCTCTGCCTTTCCAAATTTACAGCATAATGAGACTGATTTGGTAAGTATCACTTTGATGGGTTTGTGGAATTGTTTCCCTTTGATGGGATTGTGGAACTGCTTGCTGGATGTGCTATAAACACTCATAAGGTAGGTCTTTGTGAAAGGAAACTTACAAAGATACTGGTTTTTTAAACTAGGATTTATTACAGGTTGAATTCGCAACATTGTTATTTATTACTACCTGTTTCTAGTCTTTTCCTATGGTCTATCTTCTCAGTGTTGTTATAAGCATGTGTTAAAGACTATCTTTTCTGCAAAGGGGCCCCATTCATTGGTACTACTTCTCAAGCAGCAGGGCTGCTTCCTGATTTCCAAATGTGTCTGTTTCCATTGCCCAGCAATATTTTATTCTTTGTGGTTTTGCAGACCTCTAAATCCATCCTTCTTCTGCAATGGAGACAATAGGAAGACACCCTCTCCTCATCTTTCTCCAGTCCTGTAACAAAGCTCACTTCCTGTTCAGTGAGGAACTTTTCTCCTCTGCTGGAAAAAAAAAAGTGCATTTCTCACCACCTCTGACTTCCTCTGCCTGGGACTGATGGAGTTTAAACTGTAGGATTTGGGTACTAATCCAAGTGCCTTGTTTGATCCCAAGGCTCCCTCAGGATGGAATTAGTCCTAGGACTACTACTGCAAATAGACAATCTGAAGACTCTTAAAAATGCTTTTTATGGTAAATAGTGTTCCTGAGTTCAGTTCTCTGGCTATTCCAGAGCTGGGCAAGTGGGTGTTTTAAAAGCACTTCAATAAATACTTTTGGCTTGACTTTGGTCTTATCAGACAGCAACCCCAGACCTTTGGGTCAACAGTTCTTAGACCATGAATTCAAAACAAGTCTTGCCTCTTAGCACAGTAGAACAGAAATCATATCTATTCCAACTAAATAGGTAACTTTCTAGTTCTGAACATCCAAACTTTGGATTGAAGCTTGGGCCTAAATTAATGATAAAGCCTACTGTGTGGGCAAAACCATATAAAATGGCTTGGCTTTCTACCTTAATCAACCACTGAATAAAACCAGAGTCAATGCAATTTCCTTATATGAAGAAGAAATGTTGGCAAATGAAACTTTGAATAAATGAAGGTCCGATAAATAAAGTAAAAGAATACTGAATACTGACAGTCTTCCAGAAACTCAGCTTATACTCATAGCAGATATTTCAAGAATGAGGAACTGATTGAAGGAAACACTGCATTTTAAAAGTATTTGTCTTATCCTAACAAAGCTGAGACAAGGACAGAGAAATACAGAGACAGACAGAGAGAGAAAACAGAAGAATTTTTTTAAATGCAGCCTTTTTGCCCTTAAAATACTACAGTCAAATAATAATATTGTACCCTATAAATCTGCACCATAATTATCATATGTCAATTGAAGTTTTAAAAATATAACAAATTTAAAAATAAAAAATAGAGCCTTCTGGAAAGATAAACACCATAAAAGGTAAAATGAAAATATAATGTGGAGTTGGTGATATAGCTCAATAGTAGGACACTAAGACATTAGAGCAGAGTAAATATTACAATGGCTCAAGGATTTTCGGGCAGACGTTCTGCCATCAAGGACCAAAAAGGATTTAGCCAGGTATTCAAATATAGGTATGATTTTAAAGTCAGAAACTAACTGTGCTATGCAAAATAACTAACAATTATAAATACCACCTTTTATAGTAGTGCACGTTTGCTGTACCTGGTGTTTCCATTCCTTGCATGGAGTTCATACATGTACATAGTACATTCCTATCCCTCTTTCGTCCCCTTTCTCTCCCCCACCTCCTGATAATCTCATCTCCACTCAACATAAAGAATAACACAAAGTTATTTATTCCTATGTAGCTATGTTTAATTATCTTACCTTCACTCAGAACACATAGGCTGGGTCCAGAAGTCTCTCAGAACCTACATAAATCTGAGAGTCCCAGGTTCCACTGATGCCAGTGTTGATCCAAAGAACCAAGCTTGACTCTAAAGCAGACCTGCTGACTCTGCGGATTAACTCACTCAGGAAAACCAATGTCATGACATAATATTGACCACTACTACCCAGTCATACATTCACCAAACTAGGTTCCAAACAATGGGGAAAATGAGACTTATTCTCAAAGGGAGGAGTTTAGCCACTAGTGAGATTATTCAGTACATTGTATTTTGGTTTATAAAAGCTGAGTTTATAAAAGATGAGAGAGAAAGAGAGAGAGGGAGAGAGATTCCCAGATAGCTTCACTAAAATGAATCTTCTAATGATGACTACTATCAGAGAATATCCCTCACTTTAGATCTGTGAACTGCAGGACCCGTCTCTTCAATCATACCCCTTATAAATGTAATTTCAACAGTCTAGTGGCTCCCCCAAGTTTCCATCTGAGATGAAAGAGCATGAGACTGAATTATGTACCAGTCCACATTCCAGAAACAGAACAGCATGGTGGACAGAGCGTAAACTGCAGGATCAGAATGACTGTGTTTGAACCCTGGATCTACCACCTACCTGCTATGTGGCCTTGACAAGTTACTGACCCATCTGAGTCTTAGATATCTCACTAGAAAATAAGAATAGTGCATAATACGTAAGTACAGTACAAATCCTATAGTGTTCGGCAGATTCCTGATAAACAGCAGTTGCGGTTTTATGATATCTTGTGTGATTCTGGGCAAATAAATTATTAACTCTTTCCAGCTTTTATGTTCCCTGGCTGCGCATGAATGTAATCTTATGACAATCTCTAATTTCCTTCCAGTTCTAAGAACTCTGGGAGGGAAAGCACATCTGCCACCAATATAAATAAACCACAAGCACAAGTTATGAATTTCTGCTGAGCAGTAGTTCTACTTCTGCATTAATGTAAATTTCACAACTTTCTCCAAGAAAATAGCCCAAGAAGACAGAGGGTTCTCTATTCACCAAAGCATCCTCTCCAGAGAGTTACTGGATGCAAACTCAGTTTGGCAAAGGAAAGCAATACTAACGTATTGGAAGCAGCAACAAATTCCTGATTGTTTCTGTAGACATTAACTCGTATTTGCCTATATCGTTTTTAGTGAATTTCTCACACAGAATGGTATATGTAAGTCAGAAATGAATGATTCATTGAGGAAAAAGGATGCAGATCTTTGAAGAGGAAAAGTCTTGGTTGAATTCCTAGCTCTGTCCTGCCTGCTAGTTGTGATAGTAACTAATACTGTCTTCTTGTGGGGAATCCCATTCCCACCCTTTGGGGGTGTTCTGTGTCAGCACTGCGTGAGCCCGGAGCCTACAAGCAACACATCCCCGCCGCGCCTTACACGGTCTAGAGTGGACACAACGCAGTTGGCTCTTGGTCCAGAGAACTGGCAGCACCAGATGGTCACAGAATAGATGTCCAATACCCATTTGCTGAGGTGGATTTTAGGAGTCAGTTCAGCTCCAAAGAAAACAGAAGCTGCTGATGCGAAGTTTCAGCGGCCTAGAACTCACCGTCCAGCCTGTGCGTGCTTCGAACTCATGGTCCTCTCTCCTTAGCTTCCAGGTCTTAGG